TTCTTCTTCTTCTTCTTCTTCTTCTTCTTCTTCTTCTTCTTCTTCTTCTTCTTCTTCTTCTTCTTCTCCTTCTTCTTCCTCCCCTTCCTCCCCCCCCTTCTTCTTCATCTTCTTGGAAGAAATATTTAACAGTCTCTCAAAGTGATTAAAAAATAAAACATATGCAAATATATATGACCTGACTTGTTTTACAGTTTTCATAATACTGGTGAGTAAAAAATAATTAGGTATCTTTTAAAAGATATCAGAAGGAGGAGATGCACTGAAGCTTCTCATTAATGTCTTGCAAATTAAATTCATCTTTGATATTTTATTCATGGGATTCCAGAAACTGAGTCATTAAATTATATTGTATTGTTATCATTAAAAACATAAGCCACATAAATTCAGATGTTCTATGAATAAACCAAAATATAAATTGACTGGAATTTACCTGAAGGAATTAAAACTGTATAAAATGTTGAAGTTTTTGATCAGGATGAATAAATATGTAAATTTAAAATCTTATATAAGATATGAATGATAGATATGCTTTCTTTTCAATATTGATAAAAATATGTACTATATGAGATCTAAGAAGCAAAAATGCCATTTTAAAAACATTCACATAATAACTGAACATGTTTTTAACAATTGTGACGTTATCTTATTAATCTTATAACACGGCATTTTAAAAAGTTGTTTTTCACTCTTTAGTGTCAGTCTACTTGTCTATTTTGTTATCTACTAAGTAAATATTTCATTTTAGAAGGATTTTACTATGTAGGGAATATGAACCTATACCAAGATATTAAACAGTGGGGGCTGGTGGGAACATTTAGAAGAAATTAATTATCAATGCCATCATTCTTTTTTCCTAATGAGAAATTAAAGTGACTTACTGTTCTCTTGTTATTTATTTAAACTTTGTTCCCCAATTGGACTGTTAAACATTCTAGGGTAATTATATATTTTCTGTCTTTCATTGTAGCCAAATAGCAATAGTACCATTGTAGTTGCTTTATAGATTTTATTTATTCACTTGAGACAGAGAAAGCGTGAGGAAGGGTGTGAACAGGCACCCATGCAGGGGTGGGGAGGGGGACAGGAGGGGCAAAGGGAGAAGGAATCTCAAGGAGCCTTGGCTCCCAGTACAGAGTGGGAGGTGGGTCTAGATCTCAGGACCCTGAGATCATGACTCTGAGATCATGACCTGAGCCAAAATCAAGAGTAGGAGGCTTCACCGACTTAGCCCCTGTAGTTGCTTTAAACTGTTAATTCTCAATCATCATAACCAATTGGTGATATTTGAGAATTAGGGGCTAGTATTATTGGGACAATCTACTCTAGTCATGGATAGTTTTGATTTTTTAAGAACTATCTTATTTCAAATTTTCTGCCTTTTTATGTATCTATCACAGCACTTAAAAAAAGATTTTATTCATCCATTTGAGATAGAGAGAGAGTGAGAGCAAGAGAAAGAGAGAGAGCACATGTGGGGGTGGGTGGCAGAGGGAGAGGGAGAAGCAGGCTCCCTGCTGAGCAGGGAGGTCGATGCAGGGCTCCATCCCAGGACCCCGGGATCATGACCTGAGCCAAAGGCAGACACTCAACCGACTGAGCCACCCAGGCGCCCCACTATCATAGCACTTTAAAAGCTTTTTGAATTGAACACCTCATTGTAAAAATTTTAGCATGTCACTCTCCTATTAGTATTTAAAATTTTATGTGGTTACTGTTATCAGTATATAAGTAACTATAATTAAAACTTAATTTACATTCAGGGGAACACTAATCCTATGATGTGCTTCATGCAAAAGGGCTCTACAGTAAATATATTTAGGAGTACCTGCATATTTTGGGCAGCCTCTTGTAATCACAAACATTTAGCACAGTACAGTTTA